GGTCAGGGATTCACAGCCCTCCTGAGCCCAGTTTGCAGCTGATGCCAGGCTGTGTCCTGTCCTTGGGGAGCTGGAGGAGCCTCATCACACGTTGGGATTTACAGCCCCCTGCTGCCCTCTCCTCGGCTTCCTCCTCCGTGCTGCTGTGCTCACCCACCCGTGGCAGGAGTGCTGGTGCCTGCAGCCCCCAGAGGTGATGGGGAGGGCTCATCCTGCTCCCTGCCTTGGGCACGGTGTGGTGGTCTGGCTGCCATCAGCACGGAGCATCCATCCTGGTGTGAGCATCTGGGGTGCTTGGCATCCCTGTGCCCCGGCATCCCTGCCAGGCAGGATGCAGCCCTTCAGTGCCAGGGCTGGTGGGCTCTGTGCAGCCACCAGCCACTTCACTGGGTGGCACAGTGACACCAGTGGGCAGCAGCAGGGCTGGCCATCCCCAGGGGATGCTGCCAAGAGGCCACCATGATGGCCATCCTGCCCTTCGGTGCTGTTGGCCACGGGTGGTAGCATTTCTGGGGTCAATATGTCACCAGTGACTGTCCCATGCCACTGCCACCCCTGAACGTCCCCCAGGACGAGGCACCGTCAGGGCTGCCAGCAGCCTCTGGACCCTGGAATATTTCCTCCAATGCTGGAAATTTTCATGTGCAAGAAGTAAATAAGCATCAATTAACCCCTGGAGCCACCCTCGTGCTGCTGGAGAGCGGCTCAGAGTGCTCGTTAGTGGCCCTGTCCTGGTTAACCAGCCTCTGACTCTCAAGCACCAGGCTCATTAGCTGGATGGACCCGAGCCCAGACAGATGGGCAGAGCCTGGCTGTGGGGCTGGGGCTCACGGGGAGCCTGTGGCATCTCTGTGAGCTTGACGAGGCTGTGCTGCCCCTGGGAGGGGTGGGATGTGCAGGGCTATGGGTTGGGGTTTGGGGGTTTTGCTCAGAAAGGAGACCTGAGGACAGCAGGAAGGGGTGGCAGCCCAGGGACAGCGAGGGGAACAGCAGACGGGGGAAGTGGCAGGGACAGGGACTCCCCAAGGCTGGTGCAGCCCTGCTCTCACCAGGATGCACTGGTTTCCCCCACCCCACGCTCTCCTTGAGGCACACGGGGGGATGTCCTGCCCTTGCTCACACCCCACACCCAGGGACACCCCGGGGCTGGACGAGTGACACCAGGACATACTGCTGGGGTGCTGAGGGTCGTGCAAAGGGCACCTCGGTGCCACCCCGAGTCCCTCAGCACGGGCTGGGCACAGCCTGGCCAGGCAGTGTCTGTCTGTTCGGGCCCGGCGGCAGCGCTGCCAGATGCAAATTGATAGTCGAGTCACTCATCCCCACAATGGGGTCCAGCTAATCCTTTTACAATGGGACTAATTGCTAATCAGACCGATTTCACGCTGGCTGTTCCCCTGACAATGAGGCTCCTGGGGGGAGGGGGAAGGCAAGAAGGCTCCGTGGGTGCCCACGGCTCCCACCGATGCCCCCCTCCTCTGTCCCCACCCCTGGCATCCCTGTGCCAGGCCCTGCAGCAGGGATCATTTGGGACGGGCACCGGGGTGGCACCGGGCTCTGCCAGGCTGGAAAAGCCTCCAGCAGCTACGGGTGGCCAGGGGCTGGCAGGGGCTCCAGCCTCAGCCTTCCTTGGTGTCACCCACCCAGGGCTGGTTAGGGTTAGGGCAAGACCTAACAGCCTTGTTGCCACCTCCAGCCCTCCCCTCCACTACCCAGAGCATCTCCTGCCCCTCTGCAGAGCTGTGGGAGGTGCTTGAAATGGTAAATCTCATCCCCTGCCGTGGTCTGGGTGTGTTTTTGGGACTGATGCTCCTTGCCCTGCACAGTTTGGGTGCTGCGGGGCTGCGTGGGGCCAGGATGCAAGGGGGTCTCTGTGCCCTGAGCTGTTGGAGCAGGGCAGGCAGGGCAGGGGTGACGTGGGGACAGGTGGGGGTGGGAAGAGGGGCACAGCAAGGGTGCAGGGCACATGCAGCGTGCAGAGGTGCGGGTTGCAGCGAGAAGAAGTGCAGGGCATTGAGAGGGGCAGAGCAGTTCCAGAGGCACTGGGGGGTCCCTGGGACTGGAACCAGCCTTTGCCTTCTCCCCCACCCAAAATCTGCCAGACCCTGGTGCACTCCCCTGCCAAGGCATCTGCTGCCAGGGGGGTGCTGCCATCCCCGATGTCCCCGGCACCTCACGGGGCTGCCAGGGCAGGGCTGGGAGCTGAGCCCCGCGGCTTGGGCTGTGCTGGGGGCTCAGGGGGCTGGTGGGGGAAGCAGGGCCCTGCCT